TGTTCAATATGTTGAAGACTACACATCCTCACTAGCAAAAAATGAGACTGCTCAAGAGACACTTTTCTATCCAAACATCAAAAATCTGAGAGTATTGGGTTTCCATCTCAAGTTTTCGGTCCTTTCTGGCCTTGTGAAAAATGTACTTGCTTGCAGAAAATACTGTCACTGCAGTGGAGTTTTATCATAAACGGTGTGTTATTCAACATTATATTTAATGTATATTTAATGTATTAAATTGCAACTTCATCATGGAAGTTTCAATAAAAATACTTTAAAGTATATTTTAGTTTTGAAATAATTATGAAATTACATATTAATATGTACTTAAGTCCTACTTAAGTGGGTCAAAACAGCACTCAAAAGGTCAACTAATTGCATTCAATATAAATTTAAAGCTGCAGTATGTATATTTATTTATTTTTTTGGTTGAAAATTCATAACAAACAATTGGTTATTGTGCAAATACATATCAATTTTCAAAACGATTTTCTTACATTACCTCGATTTGCAATGGTATTAACGGTATAATTATTACCTTTAATAATGATTTATAATTTGAGGTGTCGGGTCTGATTTTATAGACAGTAATGTGAAACATTAAATGCTAAAAACAATGTGATGTGCCAGTTAATTAATCTGAAGTAGTTTTTCTTATGCAAACTGTCATGTAAACATATAGCTTTTTATGCTAAGCTAAAATGCTATCTGTGCAACCAAATGCAACCAAGCGCATTTATACTTTATGATAAATTCTTAAAAAAAAACAATGTCTTCTTAACAGAAAAAAAACACTTGATACTAGGGCAAAGATGGATAAGTGTAGAATGATGTGAGAATGATTAGCTAATGTTGAGCAAGAAACCTTGAGAAACAACTGCTATATTTGCCTCATTCGCTCTTTTATGTCCACTCGCAGTGTTGAAGAAGAAATCCAAATCTGTAGTGGAAAGCGTGTTAAAACTCCTGCCAAGATTGGCCGCGTGCAGCTGTGGAAGCCGAGAGCAGTTTGGCATCTCTCACCTGACGCTACAGTGAGACGCAGAGTGTTCTCTAGTAGAAAACTGTCAGACAACGTTTGGCTGTTCAGCTGTCACCTCGGCACTCCTGAGCTGGGCTTACTGACAAAAAGAGACAGACACATAACAGAGACAAAGAGACAGAACACAAGAAAGAGCGAGAGGGAGAAAGACACGAGGGGAAAAACAGAGACAGACTCCCTGTGGACTCAGGTAATAGGCTGTCTCTCCAAATGACCATCAGAGTTCACTTCACATTGCGATGATTGCAGGTGAAGGATCGGCAAAGGGAGAGCGAGGGAAAGATGGAGCTCTTATTCAGATTGAAATGTCACTCGGGAAAGGACATATGCTAATTCAGATGTTTTGTGCATTTAGTAAGAGTTATTTAAAAAAGCTTCACACTGTGCTTTGTGTTGCCAAGTTCAAACATAACTATGCAGTCACAACGAAGAAGAAAAAATAAGAGTCCCAGAGGAAAAGCTGATCGCTTGGAGTTTGCTTGGCCACAGCTCAGGATATATAATGGAGTTCTCATGTAACACTGGAGTATCAGCTTCTCCGATGCTTCTCCTAAAAATTACTTGGGGAGAAATAGAAATAGACACAAATGAGACCATAGCTGACATGCAGTAAGTGTAATCAGATATAAAATGAATGTGGAAAGTATAACTATATATAAGTATATATATATTTTTTTTAGTTCATTTTAAGTCTGCTGTTTGGTTAAAGACTTTTAGAAATTCTAGACACATGAAATTTTTTTTTTGTTTTTGTTTTTAGGAGAAACATCAGAGAAAGCAGATGTCTCCATTTGTTCTCTATTTGTCTAGGTATTATATGATATTTGTGATTTTTCTTCCCTGTGGGATGTCGCTTACTCTTGTGGTTTCTGGAGTGTTAAAATCATTATTAGCGTCCCTGACACAAATTATAAAAGGTCATCAGTCATCCATGCTCTGCTGATTTTTATGACTTTTTATGACCTTTCATGTCTATTATAATTTGGCTAAAAGTAACTGATTTTCCATCTTCAGACACCATTTTTAAATAATGCCAAGACAAAGACCCTGCAGACCATGTTTAATTACAGTTATCACAGATATAAAATGTGGAAAGTATAACTATATATAAGTATATATATATATTTTTTAGTTCATTTTAAGTCTGCTGTTTGGTTAAAGACTTTTAGAAATTCTAGACACATGAAATTTTTTTTTTGTTTTGTTTTTAGGAGAAACATCAGAGAAAGCAGATGTCTCCATTTGTTCTCTATTTGTCTAGGTATTATATGATATTTGTGATTTTTCTTCCCTGTGGGATGTCGCTTACTCTTGTGGTTTCTGGAGTGTTAAAATCATTATTAGCGTCCCTGACACAAATTATAAAAGGTCATCAGTCATCCATGCTCTGCTGATTTTTATGACTTTTTATGACCTTTCATGTCTATTATAATTTGGCTAAAAGTAACTGATTTTCCATCTTCAGACACCATTTTTAAATAATGCCAAGACAAAGACCCTGCAGACCATGTTTAATTACAGTTATCAGAAAGATTTTATACTAAAACAAAATTGTTGGTACGCCCTTGTATATTAAGTTTTAGGGTCAATGACATAACGCCTTTTTGTCTGGATATATTAATTAATTGATCAATTATAGATATGCTAATGTTTTTCATTTCTGAATTAAAATTCAGAAATATATATATATATATATATATTTAAAATAATGACTAATATGCGTTTTCACAAAATAATGATTAAGATGTGGCTGCATAACGTGACATTTTTAGAGTCATTAAATTGAAAACAATCTTGACATGTTTTATTTGTCATTGACCCTTTAATATTTCACATTTTCAGTTTGTCTGCAGTACTTTCTTGTGACTTTAAATGAGTAACTGGAATGACAAATCTGAATAGGTTTCCAATCCTTTTCAAATGTCTTTAAAGGGGTCATATGATGCGATTTCTATTTTTCCTTTTCTTTAGTGTGTTATGTAGCTATTTGTGCATGTATAAGATCTGCAGAGTTACAAAGCTCAAAGTCTCCCACAAAAGTATTTATTCTATCTAAAAGAGAAGGCTGATCCAGACCGGGCTAAAACGCCTCATTCAAACACGCCCCCACATCTCTACGTCACGATGTGGAAATATTTGCGTAATGCCGCCCAAATGTTCATGCAAAGAAAGAAGAGGTGGTTTCAGTAACAGCAGTCGTGTTGATGCAGCCATGTCAGGGAGACGCTGTGTGTTTCTGTGTTAAAGCAAAAGCACTTTATTTGGCTTTCCGGAAGTAGATGCAATGAGGACTCATTGGTTAAGATTTATTTACAACAGAACAGCACAACCCAGATGTTCGAATTTGTGCAACGCATTTTATGGACGACAGTTTTGTGAACCTAGGAGAGTAGCCTACAAGGCTGGCTATTTCTAAAAAAAAAATGGGTCAATTCTGACTTTGCTATGACAATCTGGCGCAACTAACTTCTTTTGCTTTTTGACTTAACTGAACCAGACATTTTATACTGTGGTCTGTTCATTTTAGTTAGGATAATTCACGCTGAGCTTTCTGTCTGTCTAACTACAGAAAGAGAGTCCTTGACACTTGGTCAGCAGGTGGAGTGATGTTTAATATGCACTGTTCCATGTTAGTGATCTAATGTGAGTTAGACATATGCCATCTTGCATCACATCTCTACATGTGCACACGTCCACACATAGCCCATCCGCCTCAGAAACCGCTGTGTGACAGTGGAGCTCACGGTATGATAAAATCAGACTGACACAGCTTAAATACTCCAATGATCCGCATTCCCCAACAGAAAAGAGGACCCGGGTGCCCCCCGCTAGTATGCAGGTGTGTGAATCACATGGAATGATTGTGAATTTTAAAGGGGTCCTATTATGCTTTTTCACTTTTTCAACTTTAGTTAGTCTGTAATGTTGCTGTTTGAGCATAAAAAAGGTCTGCAAAGTTACAAAGCTCAAAGTCCACTTGAAAAGGAGATATTTTATTTAACAGGATTAAAGCTCCCGAGAGAGACAGTCAGAAGGGAGAACCACAGGCAGAGGCTGGCTAATTTTTAATTTTGACAAGAGCAAGCTTCACACACTCATTGCTGAGGGTTTTCTCTGTCTCTCTAACTCAGTTCAAGAGTCACAATGCTTGCTTTGACAGCTAGTATTCACAGAACTTCCAGTAAAACAGAAAAGTTTGACTGCACTGGGTTCAGTTTAATATGCAGTTTACACAGTTTTTGAGATATGGTTCTTTTGAGATGAATGGCCACATTTGATAGCAAACAGTAGCCTTGAAAGGACTTTTACATAATTGCATAATAAATGCTTTTAAAGTGAAACCTGTTGCATACTGTGTCATCAAAGAACAAAAGAAAAAGAGACATCACTCTCTGATCTTTGCTGATTAATTTTGTAGCTGGAATAAAAATGAATCTATATTCAATTTACAGCTTATGTGAAGATTGTTTTAAATTCACTTAAATTAAAAGTTGTTATATTTTTCAAAGCCCATTAAATGTTAAAAAATAATGGTTCTCCATTTGGTATGACACTATCCTCTAAAATGTATAAACTCTAACCCACAATACAATGCACTCTACTTGACCTTCCATTTTCAATGTGATGAATGAACTGTAAGCAATAGCCTACTAGCTGAGATTATTGTTTTTGGCTCATTATTTTTTTGGACAGCATTTTTAAATTGGATTAAAATGCAAAACTCTCCCCGTTGATAATAGGATGCCAATCACTGCACTAACCATACAGCATAATGAGGTCATGTGACAACAATGTAGCATGCAAATGCCATGTAGCATTTATTTTCATTGTATAATGTGTACTGTTTTACACACTATTATTCAGATAGAGGTTAAAGGTCAGAGGTCATACAGTGAGTATGTACAATGCTAAACATGATTTTAATAGCGTGATTGTTTTTGTTTTGTTTTGTTTTTAGGTGAGGACTTTTATGAGCCATCTCCTTACGAACCCATGACGCCTCACCGACATTCAGATGCATTTCGCCTGGCGTCGATCATCTCAGGTAAACACCAACATTTTCATTACGATCTATTTTTGTATTATGTATACATTCTTGCAATGCACTGCACTGTTTGTTGTTGATATTGGCTTCTTTTTCATTGCCCAGCACTAAATGAATTATTATTATGTTCCAAGACCAGTAAAAGAAGTTTATTTTCTCTAATTTTTGCTTTTAGCTCATTCCAAACTATGTACAAGGTGAAATTAAGATAAATTAGTCTTATTCCTTTCTAGGAAAAAGAAACAGGAGCAAGTGATTATTCCAGTAAAATAAAAACCACTCTCTGCATTTGTCACCTTGGCATGAGTTCAGTTTAATGTTTAATTCACTGACAGCAGTCATTACAGACAGTAGAGGACAGAAATATTGCCTCCAATCCATTATCAGAGCCTCACAGAGCCTGGAACAACCAAAATAACTCATTTTAATTCAGATTTGAAAAAAAAAAATTTATAAAAATGGTCAGTGAATCACAAATCTCATGTGCACTACAGAAAACAGTGCATTCAACAGGGTTGTCAGATCAATCTTCTTGCCAATTTGTTGCATAATACCATTTTTGTGTCTTGAAAGGCCTGCTGTGAGTAGCAGCTGAGGTTTAGAGTTTGCATATTTTCCTTCTTTCTTTATACAAAATAAAAACATTGCAGCTGGGAAATGTGGACACACAAACAGCCTCCATTATCTGCTGGTGTAACCATTAGGTGATCGTGTAATTCCACTAAGAGGTGAGTTAAGTAGCATTTAATGTCTTTGTTGCATAATTGTATGTATTGTTATGGTTATTACATCTTCAATTGATTAAATATGACAACATAAAAGGGGAAAATGAGTTTTGGATAAATTAAAGACTCATTTAATGGGATAGTTCACCCAAAAGTGAACACTCACCGTCACGCTTTTCCAAACCATTTTTGGATGAACTATTTCTTCATATCAAATCAAGACAGTGATCCAAAGGCTGTAATGTTTCTCTGTAATGAAACCTTTAAAATCCTTTCAGAAAAAAAGGAGGCCCGAGATACGTCTCATTGCGTTTCACTCACAGCCCTCTCAGATTGAGATGGCACCTTTTGATTTGATGTGACAGCCCAAGTCCAGACCGGCTGTGTCTGTTCATTTACTACAGAGGGTGAGAGGAACAAGTGGACCGCAGCACTAACACTGACATATTGAGGGTAAAGCTGGCGGACCCTCTCAGCCCGTATCCGCTCCCTGGCGGGAATCTCTCCCAATCTGGAAGTGGAACAGCCCTGTGTGCCATATTTAGGATCAGGCAACATTAATTGCCATCCCTTTGTGGTTCGGCTGCTGTGATACAAAGCCTTGGATTCATATAACAATGGGAATGCTACTGATGTTTCTCTGTAGTTAGAAAGTTGATAGTATTGGCAAAGAAAAAAACTTAAACACACATGGGGGAATTCAATAAGAATTAATTGTGCATTATTTTGTTAAAATTAACATTCTGAGATATGAAGTCAAATTACAAGAGACAATTGCAAGATGTAGTTACACTATGATTCACAATTAGGAGAAAACAAATGATTCTTTTGATATGTAAAGTCATATTGAGATGTTGTGCATTCATTTGATAAAATATGACAATCTCAGATATGAAGTGAAATACAAAAAAAAAATCTAAATCAAGATATAAAGTTGCACTATGATTTATAGGCGCAATTACTTGGAAAAAAAAAAAAACCATTGTGAGACACTTTGGTTTGTTGAAATCACGTTTTAAGAAATTAAGTCAAATTACAAGAAATAAAGTTACAGTTGTAAGATATAAAGTTACATTATGATTTATAGTTACAATTACGTGGGAAAAAAAACATTGTGAGATATAAAGTCATGTTGAGATTTTACACATTGGTTTGTTATAAAAACACATTCTGAGATATGAAGTCAAATTACAAGAAACAAAGTCACAACTGGGCCCTATTTTAACGATCTAAGCACATGGTCTGAAGCGCATGGCACAGTTGCACGCCAGGCGCATGGTCCAAAAGGGTTGTACCTATTCTCTTAATGAGTCATGGGTGTGTTTTGGGCGTAACGTGCAATAAACCAATCAGAGTCTCATCTCCCATTCCCTTTAAAAACCTGTTGTGTTCGCGCCATGGCAAATTCACTATTTGCGTACACAATAATAATCTTTTACTTTGTAATCCTTTCATTTTTAATATTTGGCATGTTTGTGTGCTGCTGTGCGTCCCTGTGTGTGTAATAAGCAGAGTGTACGCAGGTTGTGCACCCACCTATAGGCGCATATTACTAACGTACCCTATAATAAATGTAAAAAATACTGCGCCTTTGACTTTAGACCAGGTTTTATTTGGTCAATGGTGCAATCGTTTTCAGTTGCCTCAAAATAGCAACTTTCCAACAATGCACCTGAACACACCTGGTTTTCAGACCAGCACGCCCATGGGCAAACAAATGGGCACAAGTGTATTTGCCATTTAAACAACGTGGCACTGGACATGAAAATGATAACTGCATCGGGCTGAAACTAGCAAAAAACACTGATAGAGCCCATAAAGTTACATTGTGATTTATAGTCGCAATTACATGAAAAAAATAATAAAATCACTATTGTGAGATTAAAAAGACACATTGCGATTTTACACACTGGTTTGTTAATCACATTTTGAGATATTAAGTCAAATTACAAGAATAAAATTCTAAATTGTTAAATATATAGTCAGATTGAGATTGAGAAGTTACAAGTAAGAAAAAATAAATTCACAATTGTGAATTTAATAATTGTGAATTTTGGGAAGGCACATTGAGATATAAAGTAATGATTAGTAGAACTAATATTGCAATTACCTTATTTATTTAGTTACGTATTTATTTATTTAGCAGCTAGCAGAATCGGACTTCCGTATAATGAAATACTACTAAACGAAACAGATCAAGAGACTAATTTTCAGTTGAATGTCCCATAATGCTTTGAATTATACATATTTTTTGTGTTGAATACACCTGTAAATATTCCCTTCGCAATGGCCAACAGTTCAGGATCGCAGAGCGCCTCTTCACGTTGTGGTTCACACTCTGTGTTCAATTTGATAGATATCTGGCCAGGGTGAAAAATATTTGTGTGCCTGAAATATGACACAGCTTTTTATGACATGACATAAGACTCTCTTCATGGGTCATTTCAAGTGGCGATGAAGACTCTATTAACAGGAGAATCTTCTCTCCAGCTTGTTCACTTTCTTTTTCATTTCTTTTGACAAATCCCTCAAGCTTGGCAAGCAGAAACACTTTCAAACAGAATCAGCCACTAGAAAAAGAAAAGCAGATAAATAGAAGAATAGAAAAAAAAAGTAGAATATAAATTAAATGAACCCTTTCAGGCACAGTGGTCTATGAGAAATCACCTATTTTTTTATCTTTCGAGTTTAAAGTAGGAATCTTTCCATTTTGTGACATTTTGTTTCTCTAAAGTTGGGCACACACAGCCTCTTTGAGCTTCTGAAAAATAAAATAAAATAGTTAAACTATTTCTGTATGTGTTATTTACGAAAACTTGTTGAACAATCAGAATTGATAAAGACAATGTTGCATTTTTTTATGAGAAATTAGGTGGTTTTGTATAACAACCACTGTGGATATACAAGAAATACCAAATCAAATGACAAAATGGTGGTAAGCATTCTGTGTGTGATCAAAGTTAGCATAGTCAAACAATTCTGATTTGTATGCCACACACATTTGAAAGATATTTCAGTCAGTGCACAAAATATAGCAAATGTAGTGTTTTAGACTAAGAAACCACTTCATAAATGCCTGCATAATCAAATCCAACATCATGGATTTTAGTTTGACGGCTTGCTCCCCATTCAACGCCATAAAATTGAATGTTTGAAAGAAATTCAGTGACTGTGTCTGAAAGGGTAGTTGCAAAAAAGCAGAAAAGAGATTATGGTGGCATGAGAGCATAATCTCTGCAGGTTCAGAATAACACAGTCGTGCAGTTTTATTATACTGATAGTGGCTTCTAGATTTACACTAGCTCCAGATCAAATCTTCTGTGCCAATAAAACAGCGTTCGGACTGACAGGTTGAACGATGGCGGTCTCTTTCATAACCACTCCTTGCATTTAGTGTCTCCGTGTAGTGTTTATTCACTGCTCTGTGTTATAATGGAGGTCCACTCTTATAGTCACTGCCAACCATTACTGTCACAACAGGCCGAAGAAGAAGGTAATAATAGTGCAAGTAATAAAAGCGAGACTTTATGAGCTTTCTGCTCATATTCAGAACATGCAGTGCCTAAGTGCACACATGCACACAAATACACACATACTCTATGTGTGCAAAGGGAATTGGGGCAATGCATGAGTGCGATTGATGATTTTATGATAATAAACTTTATGCATAATGGAAAATGTAGACAAGAAATTTAAATATTGCTGTTTGTTATTAAGTTTGTGTTGCGATTGGATATTTTATGCAATTTACATGTTAAATACACCTTATAATTTTTGGGATTGACTTTGTCTATATCGCCCCAAGCATTTTTCTATTCTGAGTTCAACATTGGAAATGATTGGGTGTATTTGCCATGCAGGCTAAGTCCTTAGGGGAGATGAAGCGATAGCTACATGCAGCGATGCTCTGAGACAGCATGCAGAGCCAATGATAGCACTGAGTTCCTCACACCTGGCAGTGAAAGCTTTCTAGAGATTTCTGGCTGAAATTAGAAAAGACTATATGTTCAGTTCCTGCAGCTCAAACAAATGCTGACTATCCAGCTTACAAAATGTTGATTTTAAATTCAGTATATATATTTTTTTATTTTTTTTACTTTACATTACTACTATGGGACAACTATGTATGCATGTATGTATTTATTTATTTATTTATTTATTTATTTATAATTAAGAAATCATTAAGAACATCGGTTATATATTATAAGTGACAATATCACCAATGAAGATTTTTGTAAAAAAAATAAATAAAAATAAAATACTTAATATTACCTC